TACGAACCGACTAACTCCCCTTGTGTGTATGTACAGCTCTCAACATGCCCAGACTTGGAGTGATTTTCACCTCTTTTAATACTTTCCGCCTCATTCTGAAAGGAAGAAGTGAAATGTGCCAACGTGACGGCCGTCTTGGTGTGTGGTGCGAGACGGGAGATGTAGTTCATTGAGCGGTTTCACACAAAAAAAAGTTTCACGACACATTTTTATTTTTTTGACTTGCAAAATTATCTTTTAAATTGACAAACATCATATGTGTAATTCGTGGCACAATTCAAACGGGATCGAAAGATAATCTTTCTCTCTCCATTGACTTCAATGCATAACTTTTCCGAAATAAGGTCCCATGGAGCTCAACCGGAAGGGGAGGGACTTCGCCTCTCTATTTTCAAATCTGGATCAGTTTTTATCAGATCCGTTGCAGCCCCGTTTTTAGAGATTTTGGGTATGGAGGAAAAGAGAGGGTTGTGTTTTCTGACACTTGGTGAGTTCCCTGACACACATTCATGTATAAAAGACGTACAAAAGGTGCATTTTGCATGATAGGTCCCCTTTAATTGATTGAATTTATTTGAAAGGTGGGCACCATGGATGTATAATAAGAACTGGATACAGCGTGGGAGGCGGGGTCTCGTTCTTTCCTATGAGAGCTGCTCATTGGTGCATGAGGACAAAATGGCCCAACTTTTGAGAGAGCGAAACGTCACAGATTACCCATCATGCCTAGCTGTCAGAGCAGAAGAACCCTTAAGCCCCGCCCCCCGAGCTCCCACTCTCGGCTCAGTAGAATGAATGGCGACAGAAATATGACCAGGTTTTCAAGCTATCTTTTAAAATACTTGCTTTAAAGACTCTAAATCATAGCTTTTTAGACATGTTGTTTAAACCTGTTTCACCAGAGTTCTTTCAAGCCTTTTCGACCGCAAATTTGTTTTGATTTATCATTAGGAAAATATGAGTTAAAAAGGCAAAACCTGTACATAAAAAAACAACCCACATTTCTTCCAGAGTCAATAAGGACAAACCCTTTACTGCTTGGGAAGAAGTGAACCTATTCACCCCAAACTGTTAAATGAAAACCACATGAGCTTTCTGTGTATTTGACGTCTTCCTCTGAGAGTAAAGCAGAGTAGATTCTTCTCCAGTTAGAGCAGTCATTGACGCAGCGGGACATGATGGGACTTGTTCTTTTTTATCCAAGCCTGGTCTAGCAGGGAGTTTCTGTTGATACCTATCAGGGTGGGGAATTACCACAAACCCCTGCCAAAGCTCAGGGAACATTGGCTGTGAAGACTTTAAAAAGAGTATCCATTGGGCATTTTGGCAGGAAACAAAGAGAGATGAATCATTATGAAGTTCATATTCTGCTTTAAAATCTGTATCAGCTGTTCGTTCTGTCCTTTGATACTGATGTGATTAAAAGCTGGAGTCATTCTTAAAAAACGTCCTGTCTTTCTGAACTGGAGACAATGTTGGAAAAAGACTGAAACTTTCCATCGGTGGAGTTGGATGAAACAAACGGGACAAAACCTGCATCCAAATGAAAACCAGACACTCTGATTCCTAAACAGTCACTTTGAAAAGAGAACAGATATGCAACAAGCTGCACTTAATCACTTCCACCATTTTATTTTGAGTACAATAATCTCTCTTTTATATGTGGATTTATATAGCTGGAACCTTAAGGTTGTTTCCCATCCTAAGGGAGTTGTAACGATACAACTTTTGTCCATATTTGGCTTTTTATACGGCATATGGTATAAATGAACACCTGATGTATCATCATGATTGTATTTTGTTCCTCTATTGTTACGTGTTAACACAGGGTATATGCAGGAATCCTGAAGTGAAATGTAATGCCTTTTAAGAGCTTTTTTAAGACCCTTTCCATACATTTTAAGACCTCATCGCCACTTTGAGTTCTAACCGGTTACCTTGGCGACACACTTTACCTCACATTTACTATATACAGTATTGATTGTCCTTCCTCCTTATCTTCCAACCATTTGGACGCAGACTTGCATTTTCCCATAACGATGTTGTTTAACAACCGGCGTAAACGGGCCTTCGCGCTATCAAGCAGTGAGCGTGAGATGTCCTGTTCAGATGACGTCAAACCCAACGGGATGCCATAAATAAACTACACAGAATCACACTACACACCTACGCAATGATTACATTCAGGCAGACTGTAGAATACAACCTCTTTGGACAATTTATATACTTATTGAAAACAAGCTACAAAATGTAATACCTTGGGAAATGCCGTTTAATACTTTTTAATAGCCTTAAATTTGAACTAAATTGATTTATCAACTTTTAATACTTTTTAAGACCCTGCGGACACCCTGTAACATGGTTTAATGTTCAAAAAGCTCTTTATTTTTCTCATACTGCCTGTGTTGCAGCACCTCTTTTCACCCTCTGTCTGAAACCAGAGCCCAGTCTGCTCTGATTGGTTAGATTTGAGCCTTTGTAGACCAATTACATGCACACAAACCTAGATAACACACTAGAGGAAAGGGAAAACCCCTAAACAGTACAATAGGGCCTCTTTAAGGTTGTTTCCTATCCGAAGTGAGTTTAATAACATTGATAATGTGCAGTTTTGTAAAGGATCTCTTAATCCAATAAACATTAGGGCGGTGGTGGCGAAGTCCATAGATGAGAGTAACACCTACGTCAATTCTGGGCGAAAATTACGGCCCCGCCCACTTTTGGGGGAAAAACAACGCTGTCATTTGAATGGCGGTCAATACGAATTCTGAAGTGTTTGCCAATCCGATCAGAAATGTAGGAAAACCGTGGATTTGTGGATCTTCAAAGAGCCCGATTACGATGGCCAGTCAGGCAAACAATTACATTAAATCATTGGAAATCGACAATCGGTCTCGATATATGGTTAAATTAAAATCAGTAGGCGAGGCTGTAATTTCGCCAGTTGTTACTCTCATGAGTGAGGTGGAAAATAATAGTTGTATCATGCCAACAAGCTGCTGTGTCGTTTATTGCACCTCAAACATTAAAACAAATCCAGAGTTCATTGTTTCTGTACTTCCTCTAAGAACAAAAGACAGTAACAGAAGAGCTCTGTGGCTTCAGGCTCGATCGCCATTCAAATGACAGCGCTGTTTCCCCCAAAAGTGGGCGGGGCCGTAAAGTGACGTTGATGTTACTCTCATCTATGAAAATCGATAGCCTACTGCTCTATTTAACCATATATCGAGCCCGATCGTCCATTTCCAATGGCTTAATGTAATTGTTTGCCTGTCTGGCCGTTGTAATCGGGCTCTTTGAAGATCCAAAAATCCACGGTTTTCTTACATTTCTGATCGGATTGGCAAAAACTTCAGAATTTGTATTGACCGCCATTCAAATGACAGCATTGTTTTCCCCCTAAAGTGGGCGAAGCCGTACTTTTTGACCGGAAGTGACGCATTTGTTACTCTCATGTATCGGGACTTGGCTTGGCAACTGGAAGGTCACCAGTTCAATTCCAGGAAAGACCAAGTGCTACCGAGGTGTCCGTCCCCTACACTGTTCCCCGGGCGCCGTTCATAATGGCAGCCCACTGCTCCTAACACTAGGATGGGTCAAATGCAGAGAAACCGTTTCGTTACATAGTACCTGTACTACGTAATGACAATAAGTTGAATCTTCTTCAATTAAGTATGTTGTCTGGGGTCAAAACTGTGCAGAAATTCAGAACGTCTGCCAATACAGCTGTGTGGCGCCTGCGTCATTCAGTTTTGTAAATATAACATTTTCTTCGCTAAGAGCTGAAACAGCAATCCAAATACCATCCGTCACTATCAAACACAAGCGTCGGAGAACAAAACAAAGCCAGTGTTTATCTTTAGAAGAATGTTATCTTCCGGGAAGGTAGATAAAAGTAACATCAAGTCCCTGATGTGAAAAATAAACGTTGGGAATCAGTGTGACCTCAGTGTTGCCATTTACAGTAACAACAACCCCCTGCTTGGTCACTATGTACTCATTAAAAACTGCAGAGTGCTGTTCACGAGGCTCCCATAACACCACTTTTAAGATAGCAAGTGGACCAACAAGCTCACCGTTTGACGGATTAAGTGTGAGGTTTGAAATTGTTGGCTGAGGAAATTGCTGGCCTTGGTATTGGTGCAGAGTCAGGGAAATGTGGGCGTAGTAGTGTGGGTGATTTTGGTTTTTAATCACAGCTAAAAGCGGGTCTGGGATAGTAGAGTTTGTCTGGGTGGTCAGCGTTAACAGCACAAGAGAGTAACACCACAGTTTGGGTGCTAGCAAAATAGGAAAGGAAATTCCTCCAAGTAGAAAAACAGCAAGAAAATGAGGCTGACTATTGCCCTGTGGAGAGGAAACTCGCTGTGGAATTGCTGAATGTAGATATACCGGTGAACAGTCACTGCATTTCATTAACAGTTACAACTAAGTCTCTTGGAAATGTCCTCATGCATTACTTTCTCTTGATTCTCTTGAGGTACTTCAGCATTTGTGACTGTAACAACATGAGTAAACACATTGGTATGAGACAAGTGTGTGCAGTTTTATGTAAAGCCCTTCCACACAAATCCCTGATCATGGAGGGAGTGATGTAACAAATAGTCCTCTGGTTGTCTGTCAGTGTCCCCACAGAAAAACAAAAGATGATCAAGGAGGTGAAACCCAATCACACGCTGACACTTGAGATGCTTTTAAGTCTGCTGCAGGAGTGAAATACACCTGGATACATTGAGTCTCAACCACTTCTGGTGGTGTTTTGATCATTGTGTGCACTTTAATGTGTATTGGGTGTCTGGAAGCCTGATTTGCATGCAGTAAAGCAGAAGTAGACCTTTTATCAGATGCCACAATTCATCTTTTTTTACACAATGAACTGGCAAAATGTCTCAAAACTAGCCTCATGTTGCCTTCACTAAGGTTAAAAAAGTGGAAGTGGGACTTATAAGTAGTGGTGTTGTAAGAATACAAGATATTTAAGTGAAGCACACAAGTCTTACCTCCTCGTCCACCATTCCTGGAGGACCCTCGGCTCTGTGTGTCCTCCCAGCCTTCCCAGTATCTCCCCACACATCCTCCCATGGTTGTAGGGCTTCAGACGATTTCCACTAGCTGAGAAGGGGGCCCATCGCGGAGGAAGACGATAAACTAGGTCCGATTTGGAGCACGGGTTGCAGGTCCAATGTTGCAAACCTATGGGTCATCCGTAGCGGCAAACACAGGGAAGCTTTGGTGCCTGATAGTCTGAGAAATACCTGCAAAATGTTGCTTAAATGCGTTTTCTCTTATGTGCTATCTGTGTGTGACACGACCCCACAGGATTTAAAACTAGTCCCTACACTACGAGTTTGAAAAACAGAAAGTCGACAGCTACAGATACCAATCTATTCTTTTTTCAATGTTAGAATACAACGAGCAGCATGTCAGATAATGAACTTGCCTGCAAACTAAATGTTGAAGTCCACCTTCTTCAAGCTAACAAGCTAACAGGGCCAACCGTGGATGTGGAAAGAAAACAGGATACTCCGTTCACTCCTATGAGAGTTGCTCAGTGGCGCATGAATCCCAAAATACAGCGACTGTAGATTCAGAAAGAACCAGGATCATCCGGGACCTCGTTCTTACGGAGCATGCGCACTTGAGTGTTCCCTTAAGACCCACCTCCAAACTTAGTTCACTGAATGGAAAGGAGAAAATAACTCTGAATTCAGCTTTTTACAACTTTTTAGAACCTAATTATTTAAATAAGGGCCATGAAAGTGTTCGAGTTGGGTAGTTTAATAAGCTAAAAAAAATGTGTACGCTGATTTACAGACGTCTCTTTCCCCAATGTCAATGGAAAAAAGTATATTTCGGCCAAAACGACGTCACGGAAGCTGTAGTACCACCGTTTGAACACTACGCCCATTCATACAAATCTGCTTCAACGGTCGGCGCACTTCCTGGCTAGCTAGCTACTACAACATCAGTAAACACACACTTCCGCACACTCGTGACCATTTTCCAGTACGTTTTAGTTTCCTCCAAAGGTAGTGGATAGTTACAGTTTCCAGCAGACTTCGGTAGATCGCTTCAGTTATTTGCGGTTGCCTCCAGATTTAGTTTTTCCTCGTTAAATCCCACAGACGTTACTTCCCTCTCTGCTGGACTTTTCCACGCATGCGCAGAAACACGCAGGCAGGTGTTGGGTTCTCTTACGTCAGGAAAAAAAGCAATCAGGTTCAGAAACAATTGTATTGCCGAGTAAGTTTAGACATACGAGGAATTTGCCTTGGTATATATGGTGCATACATAAACACAGTTACAGGCATTATGTTTTATGTTTGAATACATTGTTTTTAATGATACCAGTTTTAAGTTGTAACCCTATGGTTGTAACAGCAATATTGATGTAGTCTTTACGGTGTATTTGAATTCGGACAGCACTTGAAGGCATCACCAACAAATGATTCAACATTAAGATTTTATTTTATTTTGTATTTCATTTTTACCAACTTACAAGTAACCAAAATAGCAAATATGTCACAAAACATAGGTAGTTAATGTTTCGTTTTAAATAATAAAAGTTAAATGTGTCACTTTTCACCCCTAACTTTCCGCGCATGCGCAGTCTCAATTCAGTAACAGGGGCACGATGGCTGCGGACAGTGCGCTGCTGCTGTCTCTGGTGGAGGAGTATGTCTCTGGACTGCAGGACAGCAAAGCCAAAGATACAGCAACAGGTAAATAAGACTTCATCCTAATTTCCTCCACATATTTCCAGAACACCAGGTTTTTAAAAACAAGCCTTTAAAGCTTGCTGAGCTTCAAGGATGCGCAACACGGCATGCTGGGAAACGAGCTAACTTAGCACCACAACATCCTGTGTGCTCTTCAACCTCAAGTCACACAAAACAGACATTTTTTAACTAGTTTATTCATTTTATCACGTTATTAGCACACCCTGAATGTACCCCTCGTGTTAAATTGTGCTGTCATTGATTAATAATGTGAATTTAGATGCTAGTTAAGTGTGTTATCACCGCTTGCTAGCTGCTGTGTTTGTGTTCATTGAAAAGCATCCTGTCAATGAACTCTGCACCTTTGAACCTGCCCATACTGCTAGTTAATCTGTAGTTAATCACTAGAGATAGATATTTATGCTTATGTGTTTGTTGTTGCACAATTCACTAAACTTGGCTTTCTGTGCAGCTGTCAAAAATGGAGAGTTTACAGTTCTGCAGCTGGTGGAGGCACTGGGGTAAGCTATCAACATTTGTATTATTACAGCAATAACATTAACAAAATGCATTATCATTGTATGATTTAAAAAATATCCTCTATCTGTTGGTTTAGTATGAGTATGTCAAAGAAATTCCACTGCTCTTACACATTTATTGTAGATATGCTGGACATATATTCTTTATATCCTTGTACACTTCTTTTTACATTGTTTAATTGTTTAAAGAACATTTTTTATACAATTTCTCCTTTTCAGTATCAGCTCATATTTCTAGTTTTACAATTTCTCTTCCCCTGTTTTTGTATGCACCATTATACACCAAAGCAAATTCCTTGTGTGTAAAAACCAACTATAATTTAGCATATATTGCCCAGCCAAACACATATGGAATATAATATTAATAATAATAATAATACATGTCATTTATATAGCGCTTTTCCTGGTGCTCAAAGCACTTAATATATAATATATGTCATTAACATATCTCAGATTTCCATTCATTAAAAAGCAACTTTTAAACTCAAGAGTTGCTTCGCTCTCATATTAATCGTTTTCTTATAATTAACATGTTTCCTTTCCTGTTGTAGACTGAGTCTGACCAGCTCTCAGCCTCACACTCGAGCCAGAGGAGTCCAGCTTCTCTCCGAAGTTTTACACGAGTGCTATGGAGGTCTTACAGAGAAAGAAGGTGACTCAATTTCTAATTTACTTTTTCTAGATATGATAAGCAATACTCATTGTACCCCGGCTCAGAACCAAACACGCCGAAGCTGCTTTTACTTCCCGAAAACCTGAGGTCTTCATCAACGCTGAGTTCTTTTAACTTGTTTTAGCACCTACTGTATTTACAATGTTATTTTTAAACTATTCTGTATCTCTTTTATGCATGGTTTTTATAAATCTGTTATTCCATTGTGTTTATTTATTGTGTTATAAATAAACTTACCTTACCTTACTTACATGGTATCTCGGTGCAAAACCATCCTCTCAGTGCCTTATTGCTTGAGATATAAAATGTTGACCGAATGTCATTTGATTGCTTGTCGTGTTGCAGGAGTACATGCACCATATTCATGTGAAGAGTTATATTATAATATATATGTTATCTTCCTGTGTCTGTTCTCCACAGTGGAAGTGCTCCTTGTCTTCTATGAAAACCGTCTGAAGGACCATCACGTCATCACTCCTCCGGTTTTACAGGGGCTCAGAGCGCTGGTGAGGGTCCGCCTCCTGTAGACTTTCAGCGACAGAAAGATAATCTGACGGTTGATTTTGCAAATTAGTTTTTTGCTTTGCAGGTTTTATTATCAGAATCAGAATACCTTTATTAGTCCCACAGAGGGGAAATGTACGTAGTTACAGCAGGAAAAAGAGCTACAGACAGCTTCATGTTACCTATGTTACATGCATTAAAAAGTACTAAGTTATGAAATAATAAAAAATATAATAAAAAATAAAAAGTTACATAATTTTCAAAATACACATCCTGTAACAGTTCTTAGGATTTAGCAGCCAGGTATATAATACACAGTTATTAATGGCATGTATATATATTGCACATATGCACATAGTTGGTTGGTATTTAACAGCAAGGGGTGTTATAGTCTGTGTTGTGGTGTGTGTGTGTGTGGGGGGGGGTCTACTAGGGGCTGTACTGGTTGTATAGTCTGACCGCTGTAGGAAGGAAGGACCTGCGGTATCTCTCCGTGTGACAGCTGGGGTGCAGCAGCCTATCGCTGAAGGAGCTGCACAGTGAGGACAGGGTGTCCTGGAGGGGGTGGGACACATTGTCCAGCAGGGAGGACAGCTTGGCTGCCATTCTCCTGTCTCCCACCACCTCCACAGTGTCCAGAGGACTCCCCAGGACAGAGCTGGCCTTCCTTACCAGTCTGTTCAGTCTCTTCCTGTCAGCAGCCGAGATGCTGATGCCCCAGCAGGCCACACCATAGAAAATGGCTGATGCCACAACAAAGTCATAAAATGTCTGAAGGAGTGCCCCTCTCCACAAAGCGGACATTTACAATTGTAACAGCAAGTAAAGACAAGAGCCAAATATAATTTTAAGATAACTTAATTAAGAAGCATGCATACAAATATTCAAGATAAAAGTAGATAGTACACAATTTATAATTACAAAACACACATCCAGTACCAGAGTGTTGAGATATAGCAGCCAGGTTGAAGTATACAGTATTATATATAAGTTATTCACGGGGTACACATATATATATATTGCACATCATTTTGAGAAGCTCTGACTCTTGTGCACAATGTGTTTGTTTCTGCCTTTTTTTCCAGACAAAGTGTACGGTGCTGCCTCCTGGCTCAGCAGTGTCCATGCTGAGGTCTTTGTTCCAGGATGTTCACGTTCAGGTGAGACTTATATTCATATTTGAACATACAGCCAAAGACTATCTGTTATTGTAAGAGGATCCTGAGCATATATGCAAACACAAACTCTTGTAAAATATCCACAATTGGAGTGCTTCAAGATAATTGTTTCCTCTACATCTGCAAAGCCCTTCCTCTTTTTCAAAGTATGCTTTTGTTGGTAAACTTGACTCATCTAAAGTTCTTGATTCCAAGGTATTGTGGGTAAAACGCTCATAGATTCTGTTTATTTATTATCCCTTAGTCTTTAATGCTGACGGAGAGAGCCTGCGTCTACAACATGCTCATCAACCTCATGGCGATCAGAGAAGCAGGTACGTCTGATTCCTCAGTTAGTTAGTTACCAACATTTCCCCATAATTACTGAGAGATCTGCTGGAACAACACAAAGCTTCTCTGTTATATGGCGCATTTCCACTGCAGGACCTAGCCCGGCTTAGTACGGTATGGTTAGGCCCGGCTCACTTTATGCTGCGTTGCCATTACAGTTTAGGAACTGGGGTAGTAACTATAGTAACGCAGTGTAGGCGGGGTGATCGGCTGTTCGTTGGGGCGGAGCGACGCTGCGTAAAACTGCCGTGACGTCATCTTCAATGCGAACCACAAAACCATAACATCAGCCGTTAGCTGTTAGCCCTCAGAGCTCACAGCTCCTCATATCTGTTCAGAAACTAGACAAAAGTTAAACAAGTACAAACCACAGACTGTCTGTGTCATGGCGAATACAGTCGCTGCTTTATTTATGTCTGTATAGGCCGTTGTTGTGAGTGTGGACGGTCGGAGCATATTTAACGTTAGCTTAGCCAATCTCCATCTAGAAAACACGCATTTTAAAATGTTCTTCGCCTGCCGTCTGTCTGCAGACTTGTCAAAGCATTAATTCATGGTTTTTACTAACCGGTATCAGTATGTTGTTACTTCGGCATCATTTTGAAACGTGTATTACAATTAAATCACGGTCAAATATGTTGATTTTGTTGTAGTTGTAGCCACTCACGTCACTAGTTTAGCATACTCAGCCCGGTTGTTGGCCCGGTAAGAACCTCGATTTTGGAGGGCCAGAAAAAATGTGAAAAAGTAGCCCTGAGCCGGAACTAGCCCTAGTGGAAAAGCAAAAAAAAACGGGCCGGGTTTGGCACGGCACGCTTAAACCGTGCTACGTGCTGCAGTGGAAATGCGCCAATAGCTGTAGGTTATTTGCAAACACTAGAGACAGAGTCAGAAATCTCAGCAGTTTGCAGACCTCTCACTGTTGTTATTACTCACCTAAAGGTACTTAAACTATTCCCAGACCTATAATTAAGGAGAGAGTTATCACACCTTCTTCTGCTTTGTTTAGCAGTTGAATACTTTGCATAGACTAACTGTATAGGAAGCAAATAGATGCAACACAATGAAGTGTGTGTGTCTGTCTGCCAGTACTTAGCATACAGCGGGACAGTGTGTCCTGTCCTCCAGCAGTTTCTCCTTTTTATATTGTAGTAGAATACACATATTAAATATTCTTTATAAACGTTCAAATTATCATTTTTTGTCATGTGGATTGTCTAAATTGTAATTTCAATATCTTATTATTATCCAAGCCCCTTGAGACCAATGTGTCATTTTTGATAATGGGATATATATAAATCAAATCTAATGGGTTTTCAACTCAGATTAAGAAATGTTCAGCACAATGTCAGTTTACAAACGACATCCTAACACAACTTCCTCAGATTTTCAGGAAGAGGTATGTGGTGTCATTTTGGCGGTCTGCCTTTTGTCAAAACATCATATGGTGGAACAATATTTCTATCAGCTGTCTTACAGAACTTAAACAAATCTGTGTTCTCCTGTGTGCCCTCTCCTCAGAACTGAAGGGCTTGGGACCAGACTTTGTGTTTGGTTTTGTCCAATCAATGGACGGAGAGAGGGATCCTCGTAACCTGCTGTTAGCGTTCCAGATCGCCAAAGGCATCGTCCTGCGAGGTTATGATCTAGGTGAGAGTGCAAATACACACATATGAAGTCTTTATTTCTCTATCTCTGTCTGTCTCTGGCCTTTCCTTGAACTGTGTTACGATCGACTGCACAGTAAACCTCTAATTAGTAGAGGTGGGAATCACCAGGCTCCCTACGATACGATACTATCGCGATACTTAAGCCACGATACGATAGTATTGCGATTCTACGATATGCTAAGTATTGCGATATTGAAGTTAACTTGTTTAATGGTATGCTAAAGTAATGCTAATATGGATGTAGCTTAAATGTATTGGTTGTTTTGTTTTACGTTGGATTTTGGAGTTGTCAATACATTCGAAATCATCAGTCAAGTGTACGACCATCTTTCGGAGGAATATGCGACAGTTTATATAATAAAATATCGATACTTGGCGTCCGTGTATCGATACAATATCGCCACGCAAAGTATCGCAATACTATGCTGTATGGATTCTTTCCCCCACCCCTACTAATTAGCCTGATGTCCTGTGTGCTGTCTCAGGTAAATTCACAGAGGAGCTGTTCGAGGTGACGTCCTGCTACTTCCCCATCGACTTCAGCCCCGTAAGTCCCTGTTTTGTTGACTCGGCTGCTTTAGTGTGACGACAGCAGGGAGGTCAGCAGACAGAAATGTCATCAGCGACTTCCTGTGAGCTCAGGCTAACTGTGAAAAACATCAATAACACACAGCGTCTGTCTCCTCATCGCCTCACACACATTCCCCGTCACTGATGATCGCAGCTGTGTGTGTTTGTTGACTCTCTGGATGAAAACCGGCATGATGTCACTCTGCTGTTAATGTGATAATGATAATAATGAAACAAGCTGTAGAAATACATGGTAGATATTTCACAACTACGGTCAGGTCTTCTGTCTTTTGGATTTGGAAAACTCTCTGAACAAAAAAAACTCAACTCAAAAAAATAATTGTTACATTTGCATCAAAGCTTCACTACTGGCAAATGTTATTTTTTAATATGTAAGTAAATATATATATATATATATATATATATATAGTTAAATGCCTTTTTATACATTTAAAGATAGGAGATTATAATAATTAACATTTTATATAAAGGAAAAAATAATTAATAAACAATAATAACAGCAACAACAAATTAATAAATATATAAATTAAAATAAACTTTTAAATAAAATGCAATTAAATATAACAAATTAGATAAAAGAGTGATAGCAATATAATAGTGATATTAAAAAAAGTACAATAATGACTTCAAAACTAAATAAATGAAGAAAAATACAATAAATGTACCCTAACAAAAATATCTAAATGTTTCTGAAAGGTATAAATTGATCCATTTATAATCTCTCTGTATCATTACTTTCCCCCCCAGCCTCCCAACGACCCCCACGGCATCACCAGAGAGGAGCTGATCCTCACGCTGAGGGACGTCCTCGCCGGGACACCAAGATTTGCAGAGGTAGGACGACCAAATTATAGTTTGTATTTTAGTGGAACGGGGGTCTTGTGGCCTAAGAAGAATATATATATATTAGGGCTGTCAGTCGATTAAAATATTTAATCGCGATTAATCGCATGATTGTCCATAGTTAATCGCGATTAATCGCAAATTAATCGCACGTTTTTTATCTGTTCTAAATGTACCTTAGAGGGATATCTTTCAAGTTTTTAATACTCTTATCAACATATGAGTGGACAAATATGCTTTATATGTTTGTTTATTATCATTTGAACAATGACAAATATTCTCATGAATATTAAACACAACAACCTGAACATTACAAATATTCACCTCAATTCAACCTGGAACCTCTCTCATACGTGTGTGTGTGTGTGTGTGTGTGTGTGTGTGTGTGTGTGTGTGGTGTGTGTGTGTGTGTGTGTGTGTGTGTGTGTGTGTGTGTGTGTGTGTGTGTGTGTGTGTGTGTGTGTGTGTGTGTGTGTGTGTGTGTGTGTGTGTGTGTGTGTTGTGTGTGTGGTGTGTGTGTGTGTGTGTGTGTGTGTGTGTGTGTGTGTGTGTGTGTGTGTGTGTGTGTGTGTGTGTGTGTGTGTGTGTGTGTGTGTGTGTGTGTGTGTGTGTGTGTGTGTGTGTGTGTGTGTGTGTGTGTGTGTGTGTGTGTGTGTGTGTGTGTGTGTGTGTGTGTGTGTGTGTGTGTGTGTGTGTGTGTGTGTGTGTGTGTGTGTGTGTGTGTATAGAGACACTGTGATGGATCGTTGGAGCTATGTGCAGCTCAAGGCATATTATGCTCCAACGTGAGCTGCCTGGACGCTGCAATCATGTTGCGCGTACTATCCGTGCTGATTGTGCTGACTTTTCGTACAATGTCCCACTGTCTGGCTACCTGCATAAAGTCAAGTGCTCGGCGCAGTTGTCGGCGAAATGTCATTGAAACAGCTCCTTATATCCGTTAGTGCAGCTAGCTAGCACCAGATGCTAACAACAACAACAACAACACGTAAGGTGTGCCTCGCCCGCGCGAGTCGCGCCACACATACACACTCCCTCCCGGTCCTCCCGATGGCCAGTCCGGGCCTGCCAGTGAGCGTGGAAGTGTGGTCTGCCACAAGCGGGCGGTAGGAGCGGGGCTGTCAGCATCAGCTTGTCGATGGTATTTTAAACTCGATGCGCTCTGAAACTACGGCGGCCGAGGACAAAAAATACACATGCGTTAATCGCGTTAAAATAATTAGTGGCGTTAATTTTTTTTGCGTTAACGCGTTATTAACGCGTTATTAACGCGTTAACTTGACAGCCCTAATATATATATGTCCATCCATCTTCTCCCGCTTATCCGTGGTCGGGTAGCAGTTCCAGCAGAGAGCCCCAAGCGTTCCTTTCCCCTCATCAACCAGCTCTGACTGGGGGGTCCCAAGGCGCTCCCAGGCCAGCGAAGAGATATAATCCCTCCACCTGGTCCTAGGTCTACCCCTCGGTCTCCTCCCATCCTTACTAGGTGCCCGAACCACCACAACTGGCTCCTTTGGATGCGAAGGAGGAGCGGTTCAACTCCGAGTCCCTCCCGGATGACTGAACTTCTCACCTCATCCCTAAGGGAGACGCCCACCACCCTGCGGAGAAAACCCATCTCGGCCGCTTTTATCCGCGATCTCGTTTTTCGGTCATGACATATATTTCTTTTGTATGTCTTCCAGCAACCTGTACAGACATATTCACACTTCTGATTCCTTTTTCTCCCCTTTTTTATACAAAATGTGAAGGAAAGCAAGAGAGAAACATTTTGAAAAAAATAAAAATACATAAATTATAACATTACATTTCATTTAGCTGACGCTTTTATCCAAAGCGACTTACAATTACAGGGACATTCTCCCTGGAGTAACTGAGGGCTAAGTGCCGTCAAGGGCACACTAGTGGTGGTGTTCCAGGCGGGATTTGAACTCACAACCTTCCGATCTCCAGCCCACCTCACTATCCATTAGACCACCACTATCGCTAACAAAAGAATTATGATATAAAAAGGGTTTGTAGTTTGTAAAAGTGTTTTTGTGAATATATCTTTGATTGAAAACAATTCTGAAAGATAATATTACGTCCTGTTTACACTTTTTTTTCAGTTTCTGTTGCCTCTCATCATTGAGAAGCTGGACTCAGATGTTCAGAGCGCGAAGCTGGACTCGCTGCAGACTCTGGTGAGAAATCGTACTTTTTGATACACACAGATATTTCTCCTAAAGCAACACAGTCACTTAATAAACTACAATGAAGCTGCTGAGAGGCACTGACATTTTACGAAATACTTTAAAGGTCACCTATTGTGCAAAATCCACTTGTTCATGTCTCTTCTACATCAACATGTGTCCCCTCTTCTTCATGTCTCTTCTACATCAACATGTGTCCCCTCTTCTTCATGTCTCTTCTACATCAACATGTGTCCCCTCTTCTTCATGTCTCTTCTACATCAACATGTGTCCCCTCTTCTTCATGTCTCTTCTACATCAACATGTGTCCCCTCTTCTTCATGTCTCTTCTACATCAACATGTGTCCCCTCTTCTTCATGTCTCTTCTACATCAACATGTGTCCCCTCTTCTTCATGTCTCTTCTACATCAACATGTGTCCCCTCTTCTTCATGTCTCTTCTACATCAACATGTGTCCCCTCTTCTTCATGTCTCTTCTACATCAACATGTGTCCCCTCTTCTTCATGTCTCTTCTACATCAACATGTGTCCGCTCTTCTTCATGTCTCTTCTACATCAACATGTGTCCCCTCTTCTTCATGTCTCTTCTACATCAACATGTGTCCCCTCTTCTTCATGTCTCTTCTTCATCAACATGTGTCCCCTCTTCTTCATGTCTCTTCTACATCAACATGTGTCCCCTCTTCTTCATGTCTCTTCTACATCAACATGTGTCCCCTCTTCTTCATGTCTCTTCTACATCAACATGTGTCCCCTCTTCTTCATGTCTCTTCTACATCAACATGTGTCCGCTCTTCTTCATGTCTCTTCTACATCAACATGTGTCCCCTCTTCTTCATGTCTCTTCTACATCAACATGTGTCCCCTCTTCTTCATGTCTCTTCTTCATCAACATGTGTCCCCTCTTCTTCATGTCTCTTCTACATCAACATGTGTCCCCTCTTCTTCATGTCTCTTCTTCATCAACATGTGTCCCCTCTGTGTAAAGAGACTCTGAAAGTTTCAGGAACAAAGATTCTCTCACTTTTTGTCCTGATCCATTTCTATAAAAACCTGTCTGAAAATGAGCTGATCAGATTTTGGCCACTTTATGATGTCATAACGATGTTTTGGCTTGTGTAACCATTAGCCAATCACCAACCAAGGTAACCCCCCCCCCCACCTTATCACCTGAATCTCCTCCTAGAGCACCATTGTGTTCTTTGTAACCAAATATCCCTCAGAGGGGCGTGGGGAGGGGCTCCTTATTTTCATCTAAAGTAACAGACAGAGAATCAGCACTTTGGAAACAGGGCTGAAACAGAGGGGATTATGGGATGCTGCAATGATCTGTTTGGTGTTTCAGCCAATCAGAGACATGTTCTGTATATATCTGAGACCTGTAATATATTTATGAAAAACAGTCTAATAGGGGACCTTTAAGAAGACATTCTGGTTCTTATCTCCCCACTCTTGATGTTTTTCAGACTGCTTGTGTGTCCCAATACGAACACAAGGACCTGGCAGAATTCCTCGAGGGACTGTGGGCGTCACTGCGCAGAGAGGTGGGTTTTTGGATGATTATGTACAAAAAACATACCCTGTTATTGTGTTTTTTTTGTATTCTGCAGTGTTTACTTATTAGATTGTGCTGTTTTTACAGTTGCAACACTTTAATGTCTAACTCTAGGACATATTTGAGTCTTCTAACAACAGAAATGATCCGTTTTATTGAGTACTAACTGATGCTAATCTTCCCCTTCTCGTTGTTTCCTTGCAGGTGTTTCAGACATCAAGTGAAAAGATCGAGTCTGCCGGCCTCGCAGCGATCACCGCGATCACTTCCTGTCTGTCTCGCTCCGTACTCAACTCCGACTCTGAAGACTCCCTCAACACCTTCCTGGAGCTCGTTCTCAAAGGTGAAAATTGTGAAATCAAGCACATTTTAACACTAGTAACCTTTTTTTATACAATAAACACATGTTCCAAACACGTTCCAAACATACAGAAGTGCACTTCTCAAGGTCAAATTACACTGAGGTACAGGTGCAAAGACAAACACACTACCCTTCATGCAAAGACACATCTTACATACATTTCAAAATTGAATAACATTTCCAGGCCCTTTGGTTCCATTCAAGGCAGTCTCATGGTGCATAGTCTGAACTCAAAATAATCATATTATGAGGTTTACACTCGTCAGTATTCAATCTTCCTCATCATCTGCTAGCTCCATACCTTCCACACACAGATCAAATGGTTTCCAAATCTTGTCAAAAAAGTATTGCTTCCCTTTTAGTATACATGTTATTCTTTCCAGAGGAACAGTTGTTAAAGGTCCCATGTCATGGCCATTTCTACTGATCATATTTCCGTTGTTGAGGTCTACTAGAATAAATGTATATTGTGCAATTTTCCAAACTCACATTGGTTTCTCATACAGCATCTCTGTATAGTATGTGTATTCACACTCTGTCCTAAACGGCTTGTTGGAGCTCCTGCCCCCCCCTCCCTGTGAGCCCAGTGGCCGTCTGCGAGACAGTGAGACACAGCAAAACCCAGCCCGAACACACACACACACACACACGCAGCCTGGCTGGGAGTTTGTGTGTGTGCTCACACACCGACTCACAGCCTCGCCGCGTCCCGCTGTCTCAGGGAGGAGAAATGGGCGGAGCTGCAGCTGAGAAAAGATTGAGTGTGTGAGGAAGTCCGCGGATTGGTCCAAATGTAACGGCTCTGCGGACGTTACATTTGGACCGATGGGTCCATTTGCGTATGGGCACGTCACTGTACCCAGGAAGAAAAATTGAAATGTCCAACGAGGCGTTCTGGGGCAGCATAGACAGGTCTTTTCTGTGTTAGAGTTTTACTCGCTACAGGGTGTACTTCGAGGGTTTGTGACTCTGCAGACAAGGGGACGGGTAATAACCAGAAAAGCATGACATGGGACCTTTAACATTTGCCGGACCCAATATGTGACACTTGGTCTGCTGCTGGTAACACTAGTAACCTTTTAGTTGATTTGTAAACTCCCATAACCTGACCAAAGACAGGTAAACATGCCATAACAGTGATACAAACGCAATAAATATAGAGATTAGTGTTATTAATACACACGTTTGAAGATGCAATACGATTTAGAAAAGACTTGATCACCTAATTGTCCTGTTGCACGCAGAGTGACAATAAGACGGTGTGTTTAAAAGTGTTAAACTAAATATTTCAGAGCTGTGGTTTTCTGCATTGCTGAAGCAGCTGGGCAGGAAATGAAACCACAATGACTGTTCAGCTGTCTCATTTTCCACCTTCTGCTTCTATAGTGGTTGTGTTCATACAAAGATACATTGCTAGCCTCAGATGATGGATAATTACCTGCCAGATTGCAATAGGAGTTGTGTAAGCTTACAAACCAATACCACGTCTTTTAAAGACCTTTTATATTTAGTTCGTCTCAGTAGCACATTATAAGTTCAATCAGGAGAGACTGCATTTTGTTAAAGAACATTTATTGACACATGCCATATGATGAATGTCAAGTCTTTGGCGATTAGACCCCGATCGTGAAATCGTATATCTAAAGGGGGAAATGCAGCCGTGAGCATATAGGGAACCCCCCCGGGGTCTAGACACTGGTGATGATGCTGAAGATCTGGATTTGATGAGGAGATGGGATGAAGAGGGGTATGTGATGAGGTCTTTGGATTAGCTCTCCTGGCACTGGATGTGATGAAAGGAGGTGGATGGGGAGGAGGCGGGCGGCAGCAGGAACACCTGAAATCACAGCTGACTGCAGGAGAGAGGAGAACCATTTTAAAGTTTGGCTGCAGCACGCTGATTGGCTGCTGAGATTGAGGTGAATGTAATAGGTCAACAGAGAGCCCGTGATGAGCTGATTATAAGCAGCTGCGGAGTGAATGTATCCCAGTCTTCCTGAAAGAACTTGCGCTGAGCTTCATTAGTCTAACATAAAATATACGATTTTTACGGTTGAAAAATGTACAAAAATGCCATACAAGTAACAAAACAAAAGAAAGACAAAACTGATGAAAAGAATATTTGTCATTGTTCCAATAATAATAAACAAACATTTGCATAAAGCATATTTGTCCACTCATATGTTGATAAGAGTATTAAAAACTTGAAAAATATCCCTCTAAGGTACATTTATCATGCGATTAATCACTTTTAAATATTTTAATCGACTGACAGCCCTAGTAAATACCCATAAGAAGGGAAATCCTGTCTACTTTATTATTTCATCTCATCCTTCTGAATTCATATTATAATGTTTGCTTGCACTAATTAACTATTAAGAAACAGGTAACTTGCTTTGAAGAAAAACCGTCAGCTATATGAAATGTAATGGCCGTAACATATCCACATCCTTTCATAAAACATGTCGACTGGTTTTGTATTTTTGTGTGTTTTTTACTGAAAGTGTGATTTTCTTCCAGACTGTAAGCACCACCTGTGTGAGCCGGACCTGAAGCTGGTCTGGCCGAGTGCTAAACTCCTCCAGGCCGCCTGCAGCGCCTCCTTCAGGGCGAGCTGCATCATCACAGCCGCCATCATGCCCTCCCTCATCGAGCAGTACACCAACAGAGCTCAGGTACATCTGGAGAAATACCTTTGTTATGCGATCAAAATGTTACAATTAACCTAAAGCCAATCCAGTCCAACTTTATTTATATAACACATTTAAAAACAACAGAGTTGACCAAAGTGCTGTACATCAATAAATATATACCAAAGCAGCATAAATACATTTAGACAAAACCGAAGTTTCAACACAAATGTTGAACCGGTTGTTATTTTATAACGTCCCTCATTTTTTAAGTTTCTTCCTTTTAGTTTAATTAAAGGTGGGGTAGGTAATTTTGGAGAAACCGGCTCGAGTGCGCTAGAATTTGAAAATACACAGCCGGAAGAAATCTGCCACTTCCTTACAGAGCCCCTCCTCCAACACACACGAACGCGCACATGACCAATGAGGGCACGAGATAAGTTTGTGCACAGATGGAAGTCTGACAGGCAGGTAGGCCATCCAGTTATTTTAGCCAGGTCGGCTCAGATGATTGGTCGTGCTTTTTACAGTACTACGGCTTCCAGAGATGACATTTTTTTATGGATTTTTTGTCAAAGCCCTTCAGATATTCATTGCTATCGGGATGTTAAGAGCATTCCATGGAATATAACAAAAAGTGTATCTCGAGCCGGTTTCTCAAACTTACCTACCCCACCTTTAACTTACTCCTACATTATGAGCTGTTTATCTGCACCTTTAAAGTTGCAGTTTTTAGTTGACTACGACTCCTGACATTTCCCTGTGTGTGATTTTTTATTTTTGCTGTTGTATTTGTTGTAAAGTGTTTTTATTGTAAAGTGTTTTTATTGTATGTACAGCTCTTTGGCTCGACCAAAATAAATAAAACTTGATTTGATTTGAATAAAGTTTAGTTGAACTAAGTAGCTAAACAGAAACAATATTATAAATCCTTGTTTTATTTGTTATATATCATGAAAAATCTAATATCTCTTGGATTATGGACTGACAAGACAAGACATTTTAAACTATTGTCTTGAACTTTGCGAAACCGGGACATTTTTTATAATTTTCTGACATTTTACAAGCCAAATGATTAATTTATGAATTTAGAAAATGAAATAATTGTAGCGGCTGCACTAGTGTGTGATGAAATCAGTTAAACGTGACTGTTTGCATCCTTTGGTTACTACAACCCTTTATGAACACACAGTTAGAAATACACTATATTCATACAGTTGTGTACATTTAACGTGTTTAGACTGTAAGTGTAAAAATGCACATTGACATTGAATTTTATCTCCTTGCACTGTCATCGCTACGACCTCTGCTTTTACCAGTCTTATTTATTTATTTGTGTCTATTTTTTACTGCAGTGAGAGATGCCACAGAAATGTCGTTGTACTTTGTATGATGACAATACAGATATATTCTCTATTCTCTCTCTGCAGTGTTCCCAGAGACGCACGTTACTGGAGGTGGTGCAGAAATTCATCCAGTCAGTGAAAACCTGCCAGACTTCAGAGAGCGGTGAGTGCTTTTTATCTACATCAGGGCGCAGTATATCATATCATTCCAGACATTTATTACACATTTAAATATACAAACCACTGCTTTCACATGTCAAAATTAGAGCTGTACCAAAGAAGAGAAAACAAACCAAGCATTAGTTATTGTTTACTCTCAAAGCACACACCTTTGATTTGATTTGATTTATTTCGAACGTGTAAAACAATAATACAAATAATTATAATAATGAAATGAAACAAGAGAATTATGATACTGTACAAACTTAAGCAGTGTCAAATTGATACTAAAATATATATAATTGACTTACAAATGATATATAAACAAATTATCTACTTAATTACACATCTGAAAAGGGGTGGGAAGAAGTTTACACTTATTTAATCCCACCCCTTCCCCCAAAAGCTAAATTATTAACATCTGAAAGCACGTGTTACAAGAAGTGTTTTATTTTTATATATATTTTTAAATATATTTTGTATTGACATTTGGCAGCAAACAATTACACAGTGTTTTTTCAAGACATAGTAATTGTACATTAGGGTGGTCCTTAAAATTGAAAGTGGGAATGTCTAAGCTCCAACCCCCAGAATTCATTCTATTAGTCAAGAAAACTCTCCTGGTGAATGTTTTCCTCAATCTGACAGAATGAATTCTGGGGGTTGGAGCTTAGACTTTCCCACTTTCAATGTTAAGGACCACCCTAATATACATATCATGTGTGTTGGGGAATAAGGTCCTCCTTCGCCCTCTGACGCAGCTGACCAACCTTGAGCAGCCGTTATCTCCCATAAGGAGGGGCTGCCCTAGCAAGTTGTTGATGTTACCAGTTTAAGACCGGGCAACTCTCTGTCAGAGATAGTTATTGTTGTGGGACACCTGGAACACATCCTTCTCGGGGTGTAGATGACCCCGAGCCATAAGCGACAACAAATGTGATTCAGTGTCCTCAGCTGTTTAGTCTATCTATTGAAGAATGTTGATTATTACACTCTGAACTAGTTAGAACCTGGAGCTACAGGAGGAGGGGTCTTCAGAATTGATTGTGGCATCTCAACCGTGTGGTCAACTCGTGGTCAATTATGCTCTGTAACGTGTCCTTGAGAGCTTTGAAAGGCGCCCATAAATAAAATACATTATTATCATTATTATTAACCTTGGATAAAACCTCCTTGTTTTGTTTCCTCCCTTCCCATCAGAGGACAGTGTGTTTGTAGCTTTCCGGCCCTCTCTGTGCAGCATGGTGTTCTCCGCTCTGACGGAGACTAACTCCAGTCTGCAGGTCACAGCCTGCTCTGTGCTCACATCTCTGGCTCAACAACCAGGTGAGAGGCAAACCACTCTGATACTCACAGCCTGCAGCAGATTTAAAGGTCTCCTATCATGCTATTTTTAGGCATATATTATGGGTCTCAGATATATACAAATATATAAAAACATGTCTATGATGTGTTTTGCTCAAAATACCAAACAGATCATGCATTTTAGAAATCCCTCATACCCCTCTATTTCAGCCCTGTTAGAGAAACGCTGATTCTGGGTCCTTAGCTTTAAAAAAAAAAAGGCGGAGCTAATGCCTGATCAGAATTCTACGAGATACTCAGATAAATGCTCCCGTGATTAAACGCCATATCATGTTCCAAACACATCAAGGATTGTTTCTGAAACAGTATGGAGCTCAAAGGCTTTCTCTCTTGCCGGTTATACCACAAGGTGAGTTCCTTTTGATTTCCTGCTTCTTCACACACATGCTCTCCAGTACAGGTTAGCTCTGAGTGTTAGCGATGCTAATGTAAACAAAGACCATATTACGTCCAAAACAGTCGGGCATTGTTTCTGATAGCAACGTTTCTGATAGTGCCGTGGGTCCACAATTCAGATATTACGTCATATCGGACGCAAATCTGGATCAGCTCCGTTGTAGCCCCGTTTTTAGAGATTTGGGTACAGAGGAAAAGAGAGAGGGTTTTATTTTCTGACGCTGCGTGAGTTCCCTGACACACTGGGGACACATGTTTATGTATAAAAGACATCAAAAAGTGCATTTTGCATGATAGGTCCCCTTTAAACAGAAATTCATCACCTTTTTAAAAAAATCCCCCAGGTCTGCTGCTGGACTCTGACATCGAGCTGGCTGTGGATCACCTGACCAGACTGCTGCTGACGGAGCAGGACCACACAGTGAGGTCAGAACAATCTGTCTCTCTGACTCCTGTAATGCTACTTCTCTGTTTTCTGTGTTTAAACATGGATGGTATTTGTCTGACTTGTTGTCCTGTTTCTGCCTCCAGTGTCGCTGTGGTGGATTGTGCCGGAGCTTTAGCAGAGTTACACCCTGCAGCATTCATCAGTAACTTCATCCCAAGACTAAAGGCGGAGATGTTTTCCGGTAAGAAAAAAGCACACACTAATAAATATGACAGACTCTAACATGGTTTACCTCTTTGATTGTATTTTCCCCCTTACATGAACATGTTTCTTGAGTTTGCAGATCTGACTTGACTTTATGAACAAATGATCCATCTCCCTCCTTTTCCTCTCCTCTGCTCAGAGCCCATGGATCAGGACAACAACAGAGCAGAATCTGAGCAGCTTTCCCATCATGCAGTGCGGCAGCGGTGTCTCTCCGCTCTGGCTGCAGTGTCCATAAAGCCCAGCGTCGTCCAGGAGAGCACACCTGTCCTGCTGCAGGTCCTCAGCGCTGCTCACACAGGTAATCTGCCCGGCAACAGGGCACTCAAGTAGTGGAGTACAAATACTTTGTTACTGTACTTAAGTACATGTCTCTGGTATCAGTACTTTACTCCACTACTTATTTTTCTGACGACTTTTTACTTTGACTTCTTACATTTTGAACCCAAATACCTGAACTTTCTACTTCTTACATGTTGAACATAAATACCTGTACTTTCTACTTCTTACATGTTGAACCCAAATACCTGTACTTTCTACTTCTTACATGTTGAACACAAATACCTGTACTTTCTACTTCTTACATGTTGAACACAAATACCTGTACTTTCTACTTCTTACATTTTGAACCCAAATACCTGTACTTTCTACTTCTTACATGTTGAACATAAATACCTGTACTTTCTACTTCTTACATTGTGAACACAAATACCTGTACTTTCTACTTCTTACATTTTGAACACAAATACCTGTACTTTCTACTTCTCACATGTTGAACACAAATACCTGTACTTTCTACTTCTTACATGTTGAACTCAAATACCTGTACTTTCTACTTCTTACATGTTGAACACAAATACCTGTACTTTCTACTTCTTACATGTTGAACCCAAATACCTGTACTTTCTACTTCTTACATGTTGAACCCAAATACCTGTACTTTCTACTTCTCACATGTTGAACCCAAATACCTGTACTTTCTACTTCTTACATGTTGAACCCAAATAACTGTACTTTCTACTTCTTACATGTTGAACCCAAATACCTGTACTTTCTACTTCTCACATGTTGAACACAAATACCTGTACTTTCTACTTCTCACATGTTGAACACAAATACCTGTACTTTCTACTTCTTACATTTTGAACCCAAATACCTGAACTTTCTACTTCTTACATGTTGAACACAAATACCTGTACTTTCTACTTCTTACATGTTGAACACAAATACCTGTACTTTCTACTTCTTACATGTTGAACACAAATACCTGTACTTTCTACTTCTTACATGTTGAACACAAATACCTGTACTTTCTACTTCTTACATGTTGAACACAAATACCTGTACTTTCTACTTCTCACATGTTGAACACAAATACCTGTACTTTCTACTTCTTACATTTCCCAAACAGGCTGGTTCCTTTAGTTTGAATGTGTGGCGTGATCATTATTATTTAGAGTCATTGCGTGCCTATTGATTTGAACACGATCCGTGTATCCATCATTTCCTGGTCTTCTCTAAAGAAGAGGGACCAATGAAAACGTTGTCATGTTGCCGTTGTTCAGCATGGAAACATTCATTAGCTAACAATGACATTATTGTTCTATTAATATAAAGGGAGGTCAGGTACTCTTTAAAACAGCTGCTAGTTATGGGTACTTTTTACTGAAGTACATTTCAAAGCCCTGTTTACTTTTACTTGAGTAAAGAAGTTTAGTCAGTACTTCTACTTTCACCAGAGTATTTTTTAACACGAGTATCTGTACTTCTACTTGAGTAAAGGATGTGGGTACTTTTGCCATCTCTGAGTTTAAGCTGAATATTAGAGTCGTTTCTCTGTGTTGCTTCCAGGTGGTTTCTCGGTGGAGGAGGTGGTGTTGGCGTGCCGGAGCCTTCAGAGGATAGCGGAGCAGGTTCCGGACTCGGAGGAGACGGGGCGCTGCTTCCATGATGTCATCATCCCGCGCCTGCTGTCTCTGGCTCTACAGGCGGCGCTGCAGGGTGAGCATGATATTCAAAACTCAAAACATAGAGTCTCAAACTTCTGAGAAAAAAACGTGGATATTCTTTGAGATTAAAGGAACAAACACTTGAAAGAACTTGTTCAATTCATTTGATACAACGTTGAAAAATGATGTGCTTTCTCGATTTAAAAATAACTTATTGTGTTATACCTGTGTTATTTACGTTCTCAGTGTTATTATTAATTTGATTTCTATACTTCTATACTTTTCTTTACTATATTTTTCATATTCTCATGTTTCATTTCTTGGATTTGAGACCTTCTACATGTTGTGACCCCTTGTCAAAGAAACTGTTCATCTAAATTGGAATACTATTGAATGTAAAGGGGAATGTGAGAAAATTACTAATAAAGAATAAGTTTTTCCCCCTAAATTTGATACGAATTTGAATAACTCAAACCTGTACTTCCTGTTGATGTTTTGTAGGTGAGGATGGTAATCGTAGTCCTCTCCTGGAGGAGGCGGTCCTCTCCTCCATGGTGCCCATCATCAGCGCTTCCTGCTCCCGGCTGCAGCCCACGTCAGTACCAACTCTCTCCTCTACATTCAGCACGTTAAAACACTCGCTGCGATATAACATGTGCAATATTATTATTTCTAATAATGTGCTATAATAACGTGCAATTACGTATCTGCCACTACGTTTGTTTGCATTACCAAATACTGGTAATATTGACATTAATTATGTGACCGTCTATGTTTCCTGTAGTTATTGAATTGCTCTTTTTAATGCACTGCTAGTGGACAGTAGTGATGTGTCGGTCGCGAACGAGCCGATTCTTTTGAACGGCTCTTTGGTACGAACGAGTCGTACTTGGTGAGAGCCGTTCTTTTTATCGTTCAATCGTTGGTCCGCACTCACTGCCTGCCAAAATCCACTCGCCTTTTAAAAAGCTTGATTTTGTTCCCCAAACGTATTCTGTGAAGACCCGCCCCTACTCTGATTGGTAGGTTTCAGCACGAGGAGTGAGATGGGGTGGGTCTTAACGGAATACGCGCGAGAGAGAAGTCATACCAAGTGGTACAGGACAGGTAGACGACGTGTTTTTCAGATGGAAAATGAGCCAAACGCGAAAACGCAGCAGCATTTGGATGCACTTCAACCAAAACCCATATGATAATTATCCTGGGGATTATCTCGCAGATAAACCTTGTAAAAAAAAACGGCTCTTTTGAACGGCTCTTTGAAAGGAACGGAGCCATAAGATCCGGCTCCCTTCAAAGAGCCATAATTCCCATCACTAGTGTCCAGTTTTATTATTATTGTGTTTATTGTTTTTTGTAACTCTGGCAACAATTTCCTTCGGGATAAATAAAGTCTTATCTTATCTTAAAGGGGACCTATCATGCAAAATGCACTTTTGTACGTCTTTTATACATGAATATGTGTCCCCGGTGTTCCAGGGAACTCACCAAGTGTCAGAAAACACAACCCTCTCTATTTTCCTCCATACCCAAATCTCTAAAAAAGGGGCTGCAACGGATCTGATAAAAACTGATCCAGATTTGAACACTGTCCTGACGTCAGGACGGTGGCGCTACGGCTATTGGGCCAACTCCACCAATCAGGAGGAGACAGCCACGGCCATTGCCGTTAGAAAGCGCTGGAGACGCTGTAGTACATATGCCAGGCCTGTAGGTGGTGCTGTTCTCACAGAATCTGCCCTTGCAAAATCAGATCTAAAAAATGTCAAATTGAGCAAAATGAGGCATGGCTAAAATGCATGATCTGTTTGGTATTTTGAAAAACAAAAAGTATAAATATGCCTTATATAGGTATGGTCCTACACTATATTATTCAAATATAGCATGATAGGTCCCCTTTAACAAACCTTCACAGTAAAATGTATTTGTTCTAAAAAAACACAATTACAATATGTATGACATCTGTATGTTAGCAATATGTAATTATATGTTTTTTACATTGTCCTCACAGTTGAAACACTTTCTGATTCAATGCAGTTTCGCAAGTCGTGTTCTAGATTTTAAATCAGTGAAAAAAAGATACTTCTACTTCCTGTCAGTTTCTCACCTTTGTTCTTGTTTATTCAGTGTCTCCGATTTGTTTTTGTCGGAGTATTTTTCATGAGGTTTGTTCGGTTTCCTCTCTGTTTTTTCTCCGTGTCGTCAGGTTGGCGCTGCAGACGGCATCGAGAGCCGTGTCTCTGTTCCTCGATGGAGACGTTTCATTTCTGCCCGACAACTCCTTCCCTTCAAACATCCAGCTGCTCAAGGTTTGTATGCACATGGATTAAGGAATATCTACTATGTTTTTTATGATTAGATTTTAAAAAATACTTCAGAATCAATGAAGAAAGTACAGAAATGTACCAACCCTAGTTTAGGCCTTTTGTATTTGCCACACTTTTGCATGTTTTTAGTTTATCATTAGTTGACTTTGCAAATTGGCTGGTGAGCCTTCTTTACTTTTTGATTAATTAAAACATCATCTTGTGGCTTCAGAAATCAGTTTCCTCTCTCTTTTTTTCTCTCTCCTGGTTATTTTTATATTCTGTTACTTCCCTTTGTACCCCTAGTCCAGGAGGGAACGTAACAGTCACACTTTTTTAAAGTCACTGTCTCTTTACAGTGTGTTTATTGAGGCATGTTTTTTTTCCCAGCAGCAGCACTCGTGGACTCAGTCTCAGATGGTGTGTCTGCTCGTGGGATGTGTGTGTTCGTTACCTCGCAGCGTGAGTCTCAACTTAATTGTCTTAAAAATATTGTATTCATCAATGGATATCTTCCTTTCATAATATATTCATCTCAGAACTGTCAATTGCGTCTGTAAACGATGTTGGAGGCTTTTAAAAGACCTGCAGACCTTATTATGTCCATATTGCACAACTTTATAAATATGGAAATATGATCATCGCCAATTTACGGTAAAATAATGAATGGATATGTTAAAATGTGTATGAATGAATGGACTTAAATGAAGACAAACAATATCTATAATATATGTTGAAAAAAGGCTTCTTGCCATAATTTATTTTTCTGTATTTCAATGTGTATGTATCTGTGTTTTTGTGCCATTTTGGTCCAAAAATGTAAAAAACACGTGTTCCTGAAGCTATATTCTGGTTCTTGTTTACGTTGTTTAGGTGGAGGTTCCTCGGGTGGATGAGCTTCTGTCAGCTCTGGAGGAGATGAGCTGCTCCGTCCTCCACCCGCTCTCCTACACCTCGGCTGCTAAATGCCTTTCTGGTCTGCTGAACAAGAAACCACAGGGTCAGTTTGGGTCAAAATCTGGCTTTTTCTTCCAAAACTGAGAGCCTCACATGATAATTGAGTCGTCTGTAACAGTTTGGTTTCTTCTTCAGGTGATTCTCTGGACAGCAGGATTCACAGCACGATGAAGAGGGTCTGCAGTGAGCTGGACTCTTCGTCTTCATCAGTTCACACTCAGGCCTTCACCCTCATGATCTGGGTAAGAGACGCTGTCTTCAATATGTCTGCTGATTGTTTTTCTGTGCTAGATTTGAGATGTTAAAGGGGACCTATCATGCAAAATGCACTTTTGTACGTCTTTTCTACATGAATATGTGTTCCAGGGAACTCACCAAGTGTCAGAAAACACAACCCTCTCTATTTTCCTCCATACCCAAATCTCTAAAAAAGGGGCTGCAACGGATCTGATAAAAACTGATCCAGATTTGAACACTGTCCTGACGTCAGGACGGTGGCGCTACGGCTATTGGGCCAACTCCACCAATCAGGAGGAGACAGCCACGGCCATTGCCGTTCGAAAGCGCTGGAGACGCTGTTGTACATATGCCAGGCCTGTAGATGGTGCTGTTCTCACTGAATCTGCCCAGAGCTAGAAATTGTCAAATTGAGCAAAATGAGGCATGGCTAAAATGCATGATCTGTTTGGTATTTTGAAAAAAAAAAAGTATAAATATGCCTTATATAGGTATGGTCCTATACTATATTATTCAAATATAGCATGATAGGTCCACTTTAAGTCAGACAATTGCGATATTTGTTATGTGACGATACACAAGTTCATTTCACTTCTTTACCAGTCGGTTGCCAATCAATAAAGGAAGGTAAAGTGATTGTTTGGATTTAATGAAGAAGGGTTCTAGGAATCTATTGTTAGTGTGAAGGAGTACCAACACAAAATCAAAGCAATGTACTACTGTAGACGAGGAAGCAGCACATTTACACCAAAATACAATACAAAACAAACTGATCAAGGATACGTCATACAGCCACACTTTAAAACCTCCAAACTATCCATTTAATTTGTAAATAACAGAAGTATTTGTTGGTTTAAAAAGCAGCAAGTGCAATAACGTTGATTTTATCTCCAGGTTGCCAAGGCTCTACTTCTCCGATACCACCCTCTGTTCACCACACTGACTGACAAGGTAAGCATGCACCTATTATCTACTTTAAAGGTCACCTATTCCTAAATCCTCTTCTTCATGTCTCTTCTACATCAACATGTGTCCCCTCTTCTTCATGTCTCTTCTACATCAACATGTGTCCCTTCTTCTTCATGTCTCCTCTTCATCAACATGTGTCCCCTCTTCTTCATGTCTCTTCTACATCAACATGTGTCCCCTCTTCTTCATGTCTCTTCTACATCAACACGTGTCCCCTCTTCTTCATGTCTCTTCTACATCAACATGTGTCCCCTCTTCTTCATGTCTCTTCTACATCAACACGTGTCCCCTCTTCTTCATGTCTCTTCTACATCAACATGTGTCCCCCTCTTCTTCATGTCTCTTCTACATCAACATGTGTCCCCTCTTCTTCATGTCTCTTCTACATCAACATGTGTCCCCTCTTCTTCATGTCTCTTCTTCATCAACATGTGTCCCCTCTTCTTCATGTCTCTTCTACATCAACATGTGTCCCCTCTTCTTCATGTCTCTTCTACATCAACATGTGTCCCCTCTTCTTCATGTCTCTTCTACATCAACATGTGTCCCCTCTTCTTCATGTCTCTTCTACATCAAACATGTGTCCCCTCTTCTTCATGTCTCTTCTACTCAACATGTGTCCCCTCTTCTTCATGTCTCTTCTTCATCAACATGTGTCCCCTCTTCTTCATGTCTCTTCTACATCAACATGTGTCCCCTCTTCTTCATGTCTCTTCTACATCAACATGTGTCCCCTCTTCTTCATGTCTCTTCTACATCAACATGTGTCCCCTCTTCTTCATGTCTTCTCTACATCAACATGTGTCCCCTCTTCTTCATGTCTCTTCTACATCAACATGTGTCCCCTCTTCTTCATGTCTCTTCTACATCAACATGTGTCCCCTCTTCTTCATGTCTCTTCTTCATCAACATGTGTCCCCTCTGTGTAAAGAGACTCTGAAAGTTTCAGGAACAAAGATTCTCTCTCTTTTTGTCCTGATCCATTTTTATAAAAACCTGTCTGAAAATGAGCTGATCAGATTTTGGCCACTTTATGATGTCATAACGATGTTTTGGCTTGTGTAACCATTAGCCAATCACCAACCAAGGTAACCCCCCCCCCCCCACCTTACCACCTGAATCTCCTCCTAGAGCACCATTGTGTTCTTTGTAACCAAATCTCTCTCAGAGGGGCGTGGGGAGGGGCTCCTTATTTTCATCTAAAGTAACAGACAGAGAATCAGCACTTTGGAAACAGGGCTGAAACAGAGGGGATTATGGGTAAGGCAAGGCAAGGCAAGGCAAGTTTATTTATATAGCACCTTTCAACACAAGGTAATTCAAAGTGCTTTACAAAAATGGAAGACATTTTAAAAATGGCATTTAAAATCAGTCATTAAAAAGAAAAGATAATAAAATAAACATTAAAAGAAAAAATACATGGATAAAAGTTAAAAGTTACAGTTCAGTTTAAGATGTGAATAGTTCAATTAAAAGCAGCGGCAAAAAGAAAAGTCTTCAGCCTGGATTTAAAAGTAGTAAGAGTTGCAGCGGACCTGCAGGTTTCTGGGAGTTTGTTCCAGATATTTGGAGCATAATAACTGAACACTGCTTCTCCATGTTTAGTTCTGACTCTGGGGACAGAAAGCTGACCAGTCCCTGAAGACCTGAGAGATCTGGATGGTTCATAATTTAGCAGTAGGTCAGAAATGTATTTTGGGCCTAAACCATTCAAAGCTTTATAAACCAGCAACAATATTTTGAAATCTATTCTTTGACACACAGGAAGCCAGTGTAAAGACTTCAGAACAGGAGTGATGTGATCCACTTTCTTAGTGTTAGTGAGGACTCGAGCAGCGGCGTTCTGAATTAGCTGCAGCTTTCTAATAGATTTTTTAGTGAGGCTTGTAAAGACACCATTGCAGTAGTCCAGTCTACTGAAGATAAAAGCATGGACAAGTTTTTCCAAATCCTGCTGTGACATTAGTCTTTTGATCCTAGATATGTTCTTTAGGTGATAGTAGGCTGATTTAGTAACTGTTTTAATGTGACTGTTGAAACTCAGGTCAGAGTCCATGACTACACCTAGATTTCTGGCTTTATCTGTTGTTTTGAACATTGCAGACTGAAGCTCAGCGCTAACTTTTATACATTCTGCCTTGGCTCCAAAAACCATTACCTCAGTTTTGTCTTTGTTTAATTGGAGAAAGTTCTGACACATCCAGTCATTGATTTGTTCAATGCACTTACTCAGTGTTTGAATTGGAGCATAATCTCCTGGTGAAATTGTTACGTAAATTTGTGTGTCATCCGCATAGCTATGGTAACTTATTTTGTTGTTTTTCATTATCTGAGCCAGTGGTAGCATGTAGATGTTAAAGAGAAGAGGCCCCAAGATGGAGCCTTGAGGTACCCCACATGTCATATTTGTCAACTCAGATGTGTATTTACCTATAGAAACAACGTTTTTTTCTGTCCTTTAAGTAGGACTCAAACCAATTTAGAACTGTTGCCGAAAGTCCCACCCAGTTTTCTAGTCGGTCTAGTAATATGTTGTGGTCAACAGTGTCAAACGCAGCACTGAGATCTAATAATACTAACACTGAAGTTCTGCCACTGTCTGTGTTTAAGTGGATGTCATTGAAGACCTTTACAAGAGCAGTCTCAGTGCTGTGGTTTGGACGAAATCCTGACTGGAACACATCCAAACAGTTATTTAAATGCAAGAAGTTACTCAACTGTTGAAATACAACTTTTTCAATGATTTTACCTAGAAATGGCAGGTTTGATATTGGCCTGTAATTGTTCATTACTGAGGCATCTAGATTATTCTTTTTTAAGAGCGGTTTAATGACTGCAGTTTTCAGGGCCTCTGGAAAAATACCTGAGTGAAGAGATGTGTTTACTATATGAAGTAGATCTGAGGCCATGCAAGGAAAAACATCTTTGAAAAATCCTGTTGGAATAATATCAAGGCAGCAGGAGGAGGATTTCAGAAGTTGAATAATGTCCTCTAAGTTTTTACCATTAATCTGATGGAATTGTGTCATGGTGTTTGAATTGATATTAGGTGGACATAGGGACAAAACATTTGCTGTACCTGATGTAGAGGCACTGACTGCTTGTCTAATTTTCTGAATTTTGTCAGTGAAGAAGGAGGCAAAATCATTGCACGCCCTGGTGGATAGAAATTCAGAGGCTACTGACACTGGGGGGTTAGTTAGTCTGTCGACGGTAGCAAACAAGGCACGTGCGTTGTTTTTGTTTTTGGTAATAATGTCAGAGAAGAAAGACTGTCGTGCGTTTTTCAATTCCAAATTATAAAGGCCAAGTCTCTCTTTATAGATTTCAAAGTGAACCTGGAGATTTGTTTTTCGCCACCTACGTTCAGCTTTTCGACACTCTCTTTTTTCTGTTCTCACGGTCATGGCCTTTCTCCATGGAGATATTTTCTTGCTAATCACTTCCTTTACCTTAGTTGGAGCAATGGTATCTATAACATTTTTAATTTTTGAATTAAAATGATCTACTAGCTCATTTACTGAGATGTTAGCAGGGGAGAGTGTGGATGAGAAATTATGAGTAAACATTTCCCTAGTATTTTCAGTTAAATATCGCTTTGTGGTTACCTCTTTCTGAACATTTTTGTGAACAGAAATAGAGCTCTCAAAGAAAACACAGGAATGATCAGAGAGTGCAACATCAGTCACCACAACCTTTGAGATATTCAGACCCTTTGAGATAATTAAGTCCAGAGTGTGCCCCTTATTGTGCGTGGGCTCCGCCACATGCTGAGTCAGTCCATAGTTATCAAGAACACAAAACAGTTCTTTAGCCCCTCTGTCCTGGGGGTTGTCAACATGGATGTTAAAATCACCAACAATGACTAAATGGTCAAAGTCAATACACACTATAGACAGCAGTTCAGTAAAATCATCAAAAAAGCTTGCACAGTATTTGGGTGGTCTATAGATATTTAGGAACAGAGCTCGAGAGGAGCATTTCAGCTGAAGGGCCACATATTCAAAAGAAGCAAAGTCCCCATAAGATGTCTTCCTGCATTGAATGGAATCATTTAACAAAATAGCAACTCCACCCCCTTTCTTATGCATTCTTTCCTGACTCATAAAACTAAAGTTGGGAGGGGTTGATTCGATAAAAACAGCTGCACTGTTATTTTGTTCAATCCAAGTTTCCGTTAAAAACATAAAATCGAGATTATGCTCAGTGATAAAATCATTGATTAAAAATGTTTTTCCTGCCAAAGACCTGACATTTAATAAAGCTAGTTTAAGTTTGTTAAATACACTATCAGTAAAAAATGTTGTGACAAGCTGTGGCTGACATGGAATCACTGCTAAATTTGATAACCCCACACAAACGTTTGAGCACTTCCTGTTTCTAAGCTGATTTACCGCTCTTAATCTATTACCTATCAACACAGATATCGGCAAAGCTACTGGCAGGCAGGGCCCCGGCATGTGCTGGAAAGAGTTGAGAGTGCCATATGCCCTTGAGCCTGGACCCAGCACATATCAGTAAAAGTTTGTTGCGTTTTGTACACACACATCCTTATCAGGCTTCGGAGACTGCAGATGCTTTCTTGAAGGGATGGGAGGTGGTTGACGTAGGCACGGTGATGAAGACGGGGGAGATGGTGCGCGTCTCTGCTTCTGTGATTTTGGTGGGCGTTGTGGAAGGGCGGGGGTAAAGGAGATGCTGCCAGGGGGGGGAGGTGGTTGACGTAGGCTTGTCTTCGGTGATTTTGGTGGGCGTCGTTGAGGGGCGGGGGTAAAGGACATGCTGCCAACCCTGCATCTCGCCTTCATGCGGTCATCGAACTCCAGGGGGGAGGGCGAGGGTGAAAGGGTGAGCGGAGAGTAGAGAGAGCTGGGGGAT